GGGGGGTGTTACCCTTATTGTCACTTTAAGAAACACGCAATGTTAAATGTTTTTTTAGCTGTTCATACACATTACAATCGGACAGTACAATCTCTGTATAATTTACAAGTATGTAAAGTGGGGGACTAACTTAACAATCCGTTCAATTTAAATGCAAATAGGTGGGCCCTTGGATGATTCGATGTAGATAAAGGGTAGCCAAACTTTGTCCCTCCAGCTGTGGTGAAACTACATAGCCGATCAGGCATCTGTCTTTAGAAGTCATGCCACCTGTGGCAGTCAGAATCCTGCCATGCCTTATGGGATTTGTAGTTCCACTGCCCATGACAACAAACTTTGGAAAAGGAATTAGACCATTTTTCTGACAAATGACTATTTTGCATCCCTATTTTTCCTAAAATAATCAAATGATTACAATGCATTCCAATTCATCCCAGGGGTGTTCAATAGGGTTGAGGTCCGGGATCTGTGCAGGCCGCCCAAATTCAAACTATGGGGGGAATTTATCAAAACTGGAGCAGACAAAACCTGGAGCAGTTGTCCATAGTAACCAATCAGCTTCTCTCTTTAATTTTCAAATCTTAACTGAACAAGCTAAAGAGAGAAGCTGATTGGTTGCCATGGGCAACTGCTCCAAATTCTGTCTCCTCTAGTTTTGATAAATTCCCCCCTATGGCTTTTTTTACACGGGGTCACAGTCATGCTGGAACAGAAAAAGGCCTTCCCCATATGGTTACTATAAAGGCTAGACACTCACAATTGTCTAAAATGTCTTTATATAATGTAGCATTAATGTTACCCTTTACTGGAAACACTTAAACTCAGTCATTTAATGGGGTGTCCATGTTCCTTTGGGCATATAGTAGGCGTGCTGGTCAAGTGTCCTCATATTGGAGGTGAAATGCACAATGTTGTCTGAGCCATGGATTCTTTTAAATGATGGAACAACATAGTGCAAAGTTTAATGAACCATTTTGTATCAGGGAGTGAAAGGAGAAGACAGACCCTACAGTCTGTGGTACTCACAGTTTGGCATTCTGCCTTTTGCTGGGAGGCTCTTTGCTACACAGGATCTCCAATCGCTCCAAGTTACTGAAGATCTGGTCTATTCTTGCTTGAATTTCATTCTCTATGACTGGTAGGAAAGATCACAGGATTAAAAAAACCCACTATAAATGTTGTAACGCTTAACCCTTCCTGCCGTACATAAATTTGCGTAAAATATAAAGCCACAGTATTGTTCACATTCTAAGAGAATATACAGTCTTTCTAATATCTATTTAACATGTAAAAGTGATCTCCTTCTGCATGACCATGCCGATCCCAAGCCTATGTAAGTGGGGAGAGTTTAGGAAAGACCTGCCGACCTACCTCTTGCCGACAAAATTCTTTGGAAAAGGCTTTTAAGTGCATCACATATCAAAGAGCTAGTCCATGGAACTTGCTGAGAGTTGGATAAGACTGATCGGATATCACACACAAACTGTACGGTTAGTTCGGCCTATGGCAATAGGTTGCAGGGCTGTAGATAAGGGGCAGTAAAGTTTACAAACATTTACCCCCGCACAGTTAAAAAGATGGTTTTGTGGCACTTTGGTTTTGCTCACTTGACCTTAAGCCACAGAGAAGAAGCTATAACAATGAAATTGCATTAGGAGTCTACCGATTTGGTCACCCACCTTACAAAGCTGTGGCATGCCATCTGACTCAATATGCTCACTTGAGGTCACAGGACACCAAACTGGGTTTTTTTTTCAGCTCAAAAGGGTAATTGCTCGATACCAGTGCTACCCCCATTCCTAGGTAATCTACTAAAGTGGACCTATCTCCACACCTCAGAGCGAGGGGTAGGCAAACTCCGGCCCTCCAGCTGTGGTATTCTGCGAGACCCTTTGCACTAAGTGTGTTATGCCTTTTTGCATGTATGTCATTACATAGACGTATTCTATTTGCTATCGGAGTGCCGATGTCCATATTTCTTCGTATCATAGAGACGGTGGCCATCCGTTGACTACCGTTGCACGCACCTTATCTCGATGGAAAAGCGGTTAGGAGTGTGATGGGTACATGGATTTTGTACAAATCCCACCATACCTCTGCAAGTCATGCCTGTGACTGTCAGAGTCTTGCAATGCCACGTGGGATTTGTAGTTCCCTCGCGGCTGGAGGGCTGGAGTTTGCCTATCCCTGCCTTAGAGCCACAGAAAAGGCTCAGAAAACCTAGGTGCCAACTTTTAGGAGAATAAGCTATCTCATCCTGGGATTCATCCAAAACAATAGTGAGCAAGGAACAAATATAAGTCTAGAAAAAGGGGTTTCTATTAAATGGCACCTTCTTTTGTTTGCTACAAATACACAATCAGAGAGCAGGAGGCGGAGTCTCTAAAGCACACTCCCCCCTATTTCCAAAATTCCCCCAAAAACTTCCAGGGCAAAGCTTCAGCCAACACAGGCACAGAATCCAGCCACAGATTATGGAATGGCAGCAAGATGCATGCCCAATGGGTGAGGAAGAGAGAGGCGAGTGTATGTTACACACTCCATTCACTTAACCCAACCCACCATTTCTTAAATGAAATTAAAGAGACAGTTTTTGAAAGAAAAAAAAAAAGACAGGAAGGGCACCCACAAGTAAGAAAACCACTCGACAGTGAGAGTGCCACATCCTCAGTTTTAGCTGCCAGGAATAGTTGGAATCATCACTGTAGAGAATGATTTCACATCAGCACTGATATGTGTACTAAAGTACACGAGTACTGATAGAGGAGCAACAAGGCACAGTCACTGCACAGGAGAAGAGTAATAAGGAGCAAACAAAGCTACCCTAGGACACCACACACACACCTATAAAATTTCAACAATGTTTCTAAAACATCAACATGTTAAGTAAATCATTTACATTATGGCTGTTTTCTTAAAGAAGAACTCCGGGAATGTAAAAAAAACGTGCCCTTGCAGTGGGAGAGCCTTTTGTCTAGGGCAGGGGTAGGCAACCTTGGCTCTCCAGCTGTGCTGAAACTCCAAATCCCATCATGCATCTGCCTCTAGGAGTCATGCCTGTGGCTTGCAATGCCTTGTGGGATTTGTAGTTTCAGCACAGCTGGAGAGCCAATGTTGCCTACCCCTGGCCTAGGGGACTCATATAAAGCAGATATACTCACCTGAGCCTCGGTCCCTCCTTGCTACTAGACCAGTCCCCACAGCCTCTTCTCCCCCAGGCTCTGGCAGTCTAACGCCCGCTGATGTCATGACGTCTAATGCAGGTTTATTGACTTACATTAGACGCGAGGACACCGAGGGACATTCCATAGCCAGAGTGGAGGGGAAGAGAGGTGAGCACTGACCGTTGCGGCCCTGAGGATCAGGTGAGTAAAATAGCTTTATTTGAGCTCTCTAGACAAAACGAACACTTAAGAGAAGTATGGGGTAACCTTTTTTTTGCTATAGTTCTCATTAGGGTCACAGGAGGACATATATGCATGCGACACGACATCCAACGCATGCAACACAACAGCCAACGCATGCAACACAACATCCACAATTTTACAGTATTGTGTTGCAGTTCTGCGTGGCAAAGCACGTTACCTGCATTTGTGCAATGACTCCCAGTGCACCTTGCCAATGGATGTGTGTTGCAGTGCAATGCAGTGACATGTGGAGTGTGTGGACACGTTCTGATGCTTTAGGCACCCCTTTCAAATGAACGTGCTGCACTAATCCAATGCACAGTAACGCATACACTAATGCAACACAAAGATACAAATGGGCCCTCAAAATCTTCCTTATATGTTACATCTAACACATGCGTCACGACATCTAACACATGCATCACGACACGACATCTAACACATGCGTCACGACACCTGTCCGAGGTCCTGTGGCACACCTTACCGGAATTCCCATAGGTAGAAGTTGGTGCTCGCAATGACTGCGGATTGCACCCCATTAAAGCAGAATTGGTTGTGAAAATATGTCACCAGTAGGGTCAAGCACTTTCGGGGCCGCTCAGGGTCCCCTTCATCAGGCTTAAAGTGAACAATGACACCTAACACATGGGTCACGACACGACATCTAACACATGCGTCACGACATCCAACACATGCGTCACGACATCCAACACATGCATCACGACATCCAACACATGCATCACGACATGACATCTAACACATACATCAGGGCACTTACGATGTACAGACTGTTTGTCACATGACTCCAGGTGTCCCATCTGAGACTGGACCTCATGGATATGTCTGGGGGAGAAGAGTGGCCAATTGTAAATAAGAGATTTATTTCATATCACATACTTATACTATACAATAATAAATATGTAAAACGAGTAGTTGGCTGTCATGCAACTCTTCCCAATCCGGTGCTGCCGTGTAAGGCCAATCACACACAGCTGCTGGATACAGAAGAGCATCCAGTTCCCTTGTCACGGCTCATGTACACCAGTCCACAGTCAGGAGCTGTGCACACTGACCAATCAGCGTCTACATTCATCCTGTTCAGTTAAGCTGTGAAAATGAAAGCTAGAAGCTGATTGGTTGCCATACACAGCTGCTCCAGCAGCCATACATAGCTGCTCCAGATTCTGTCTGCTTCTTCTCTGTAGGTGGTGTTCTATCACTGATTCATGATCGCTTGTTTGTATTTAAATAGATCACAAATCGTTACGTGTATGGCCACCGTAACATCTCTACAGGCTGTCATTATCATGTCTCCTCCCCTGTATAGACAGGTTGCTGCTGATCTATGTCACCCCCTCCCCTCCTATACAGTGGACACACTTCCTGCCTGTCAGACACAACTCACTTGTTACTCTGATGATAAAGAGCCTCCATGGCTCCGTCTCCTGCCACCACTCAGCGCTCGGCAATCTATTACGTATCAATAGGCAATCAGCTGCTTTTGCCTTTACCGGCACACGTCATCACTTCCGGGTTCCGTCAGGACCCCGTCGCGGTCGGGCTGCCCAAATTAGTGCCTTTTTGTATTTATTGATGGGGGTGGGCATAGGCAATGGCAGTATGTTCTCTGAAAGACTTCATTTCCTCGGTTTTATAGCAATGCAGCTTGATGAATTCGTTGTCAGAGAAGGTGCATGAGGTGGTGGTTTGTCAGGCAGTAGTAGGACACCTCCCAGCAGTGGGTTGTGGGGGGATGCTGCATTATAAAGTGTAGTTTGCTGAGTGTTGTTCAAAGCTGCAGGTGACCTGCCTGGTAATTTCACTTCTGTAGGACGACAAGTCCCAGCATGATGTGTGCTAGAGCTAGTGGAGGTATTGTAAGGGACAATTGTTGCATTGTGTTAGGGAAGCCTATGGGGCTGCTTTGCTACAACACACTGTATTGCAGCACAATCATGCTTCATTTATGAATTGGAGGCAGTTTTTTTAGTAGACTGTCACAGATTGGATTTAAAAGGAAGGACTTTTACAGTATTGTGTTGCATTTCTCTGTGGCAAATAGGGCTGCCACCTGTCACAGGTTCACCTGTACAGTCTGGGTTTTGAGTCCTTTTATGTGCTCTGTCTGGGTTTTAGCTGGCATGAAACCTGAAAACAGCACATACAGGACTCAAAACCTGGACTGTCCAGGTGAATCTGGCACAGGTGACAAAGTGCGTTACCTGCATTTGTGCAATGCTGTGCCATTCATTCTGATTGGCTCCCAGTGCACCTTCCCAATAGATGTGTGTTGCAGCGCAATGCACTGACGTGGTGTGTGGACACGTTCTGATGCTTTAGGCAGCCATTTCAAAAGAATGTGCTGCACTAATCCAATGCACGGTAACTCGTACACTAATGCAACACGGAGATAAAAATGGACCCTCAAAATCTTCCTTATTCCATCAGGAGCCCACAGCCTTCAGTGCTCATTTTGCAAATGGAACCTTCGAGGTCACATAGAGTGACATCCATATTAGATAATGGAGCAACTGTTTATTAATATGACGCCTCACTTACAAATACAACTCCATTGTTTATAAATAAGGCCTATTGTTTGAAAGTATGACCCTTTTTATACAAATATGACTGATAGTTCATACACACAACCTGATTATTTATAAATATCACCCTGTTTATAAATATGACCTGATCATTTATAACTATGACCCTTTATTTATAAATAGGACCTGATCATTTATAACTATGACCCTTTATTTATAAATAGGACCTGATCATTTATAAATGTGACCCTTTATTTATAAATATGACCTGATCATTAATAACTATGACCCTTTATAAATATGACCTGATCATTTATAACTATGACCCTTTATTTATAAATATGACCTGATCAATTATAAATGTGACCCCCATTGTTTATAAATCTGACATGAACATTTATAACTATGACCTTGTTGTATAAAAATATTTATAACTATGATCTCGTTGTTCATAAATACCACCTGATCATTTATAACTATGACCCCAATATTTATAAATACTCACTTGTTTGAAAATAGAACCCCCGTCATTTATGAATAAATCCCACAGTTCTATTCCTTTTCATTCTCAGGTTTTAAAATTCATTCTGAAAACGTTTTGTCCATGGAAATGTTTCAAAACTGACAAACTGTTACACAAAAAATGGAAAAGTTTTTTTTATGTTGCATTCTGTACCCGTTGTACATTAATACTGTGTGTGGGCTTTTTAAAGTAACCTGTCACAACATAAACACAGGTACAGTGTAGGACTGTCTAGATCAGGCGTGGGCAACTCCGACCCCTCCAGCTGTTGTTGAACTGCAACTCCAATGCAATGACAGTTGCAGGCATGACTCCCAGAGGCATGTTGGGATTTGTAGTTAAAGCACAGCTGGAGGGCCAGAGTTGTCCACCCCTGATCTAACTGGTACTTGACTGAAGTATTATTCAGGTGCCTTCAAACTTGGGGTGATCTTTTATGCCCCCATCACCGGAAAGATCCACACTTTAGGGAAGCAATCTAATCATTCTGAATAGGCTGTCATTGCACTTTCAAAAAAGAACATGTAACATTTTTTCTGATGCGTGGTATACTGTACGCATTGTGATGTGCTGTAGTGTGAGTGCACTGCCTGCTATTGTATTAGTTCACTGGGGTGGCATTAACATAAAGGCACCGCATGGAGGTACACATGTATTGCAGTAATACTATTTTCTGCAATGAAATCTGAAAAGATTAGGGGTAGCCAAAATGCAGCCCTCCCGCTGTGGAGGAACTACAAATACTATCATGCATCTGCCTCAGTAGGCCATGCCTGCAGCTGTCAGAGACTTGCAATGCCTAATGGGACTTGTAGTTTCATTACAGCTGGAGGGCCGCAGTTTGGCTACCCCTGGAATAGACTCTAATGGTCAGTGATGTGCATGGGCTTGGTGCAAAATCAGTTGGCCTAAGCCCGTGCAAAACTGTGACTTACTGACCCCCCCCCCCCCTTCCTGGCCCCTGCTGGAATGCCCCTGCCACAACTGATTGGAGAGGAGTGTCAGTCACAGCTTTGCACGTGCTTTGGCCAAATGAGTTTGCACTAAGCCTGTGTACATCACTATCCTTTACATTGCACTCTGCCTCACTTTACAGGAAAGAGTGAGTCTATAAAAACAAGGCCTGACATGTAAGAAACAAAAAAATTTAATTGGTAAAGTTATTCCTAGCAATACAATTCAATATTGTAATAATAATACAGTTTAGTAATGCAGCTTCATTTATAACGACCCCTCTCTGCACTGCAGTATTACACAAGCTGCCCTAGCCATTTTTTGTCAATATGTTGTCAAAATCCTTCTTAAATACAACAGTAAATCAGTCATCAAGGGCAAATACACAAACAATACTGTTGTAATTCCTTTGAATAGTGAGAGGCAGCCTGATTTGTAACAGATGAGCACCTAACTATGTCAGTGAGTTGCTTGTGAAATCCCTCTCAGTGTTTCCTCTCTGTTTATTGATCAGGTGGATTTTATAGCTGCAAGTGCCACTTGTATCTGATCCTGAACAAGAAGCAAAAGGAGATTGACAATAACTGTGAGTGAACAATGGAAGTGTCTGTATGATCTGTTCTCTTATGTGGAGTCTGTTTTCATTCATCCATATGCCCGTGTCTGATCACTATCTTCAGGAGTATGCATTATATCTGCTGCATTCATAAGTCGTGTAGCCAAGTATGTCATGCTATTTGCTCTGTTTGGTCCTTGTGCAGTCCAATGCATGTGAATCTGCACATAACATCCTTTATGAGATCTGTACTGATACGATCACTGACACTGTTCATGTCTCATCAGATTTGATTCAAGGTTTTTTTTTTTTTTATACCCTTTACAGAGATGGAAGTAGCAATGCTGCTGAATTTGCAGTACAAATGGATGGTATTGACATATGTGCATGATATGCATTTGCAGGTGTTTTAATACACACAACAGCCTCTTTCTGAAAATAGAACACAATTACAGACCTGTAAATAAAACATGAAAGCGTGAACTAGCCTTTAGTGCCAGTGCTTGGAGGTCTTTGTACACTGGCATATTTAGGCGTAATCTGTAGAAGTCTTCCTTACTGCTGTACAAGACCCATAGCTATTCATTTGTGAGCTGGTATGGTAAATGTTTGTGTTCATTCACAGTCATGTGGAAGCTCGTCATGAGTGCTGAATGTTTAGGCTTGTGAGAGTTAAGTGAGATCTGGATGTGCAGGATATGTTCTTCTTTATACACCGCTGTTCCCGTAGGTTTAAGGCCTTGTTCACATGGAGCAGCGGCTGCCAGGCGTTCAAGAGGCGATATTACAGCCTCCTGAATGCTTTAAAAAAAAAATCCCAATGGGGATTTTCTATTGCAATACTGTACCGCAACTCCGTACCCACTTATTGCAATGATCACTTTTGACAAGCAGCACCGTCTGCAAAATGGAACATGCTGTATATTTTTTGCCCCAACGCAGAGCATCTCAACAATGTATACAGTACTGTTCAGCTGCAGTGCTTGGATTGCA